CTTCAAATATTTTAAAATGAAGTTTTATTTTTATGAAATGTTTCATCGTAAGAAGTTATTAACAAAAAACGCTCAAAACCGTCCCGAGTAGCCCCGGTTGACGGTAATTTTACCCTAAAAAAGTCTAATTGTACAGCAAGTGTTAACTGAACATGTGATAATGCAGTCTGAGTCTGTCTGACCACTCCAATGTGACTGCAACTACGCAATCGTAAACTTGTTGTTTACATTTGCGTATTATATTTTGGCGGGAACTTATCGCAACTTATTTCCGGACAAGCTTTACTGCATCCTGATCCATCCAACGTACCGGAAACCTTACTTTTTTCTAAATAGTTGGCCAAAGACTGACATATATATTAAATGCAGGAATTTCAATCTAAATGTGTTGGCAAGATCTTCTGAAGGCGTAAATTTTGCTACTGAAGCTTCGCCAAAGATCTTGCAATATTCATCCACTCTCTGCACAGTGGCAACTGTGCAACTGCATAGTGGCATCAAGAACACATTTTTTGGGGGTCAACATACAATTTTTGAATGCAAATTAAGCCTATGCATATTGGAGAGTAAGGGATATACTACCAAAGTTGTTAGCAGCATTTTCTTATTATAAATTACCCAGTGGCCAGTGATGCATCTTGAAAATGGCTGATGGTGTTTCGGGCTAAAAATCCATTATATATCTTGGCAATGCAGCTTGCAGACTCTGCACCCTGGCAAGGTGGTGCTGTGGTGGTACACTCACTAGACTGGTAAGCCTAGTCTGGTAACAGACTACCAGTACTTCTACATGAACTGCCCTTTCTTTCACAGTTTCACTTACCAAAACCATCACAGTCATCACTCACAGTTCAAAGACCTTCTTTTTAATGACATATCTTCAACCACTTCATGTTGGCTCCTTTTCCTTTCTAGTATTTTCAATTAGACGATGACTTCGAGTTAGGATGCCCCCATGCTGGGCGCTGGCCATGCATAGACAGCATAGTCACAAACACCGATTTTTAGAATCAGTCAATTTTCAATTTCCTCATCTACTCAAGTTTTGAACCAATTTCTTATGTATTATAATGCTGGTAATGGTATGAGTGGTGTTGATGATACTTTACTGGTCTTTTATAATATATTATAGCCTATAGCAGTCAAAATTGAACTTGAGGAAGAGTCTGAATTCGTCTAAAAAAGTCTGCTTTGACAGTTTTGACACCATGCCCAATAATGTCCCAGGCCCCATGTGTGCCTTATAATGGTAGTAGTATGGATATTTCTAGCCAAGGAACTGATTGAATTTCATATTCTATAATTGTATGTTGTGTCAAAGCTCAAGGAATTGAGTCTAATGTAAATAGTTGGCCAACCGTTTAAAAAGTCACTGCACAACAATTTTCCTTGGTGAGTAAATTTAAATTCAGTGCACAGATCATTTAAATTCACATCATTTTATTCATCAAGATTGGGATTCAGGAGTTTCTGAATGAATATGAAACATATTTTTTTAATTATTAGGTAAAAATGTTAAAATGGGTCTGGTCAAAACATAATGGTTTGAGTGCTCCTGCAGAAGGGTTTGAAATTATATATGGTCCTTATTTTGACTATGAAAAATATTATATGCCACATGTATACATAATGAAGTTAGTGTTGACAATTAGACCATCTGACGTACCACAAAGATGCAGAATTTTTACTACTATGTAGTACAATTAAGCATGCTCAAAATCATGCTTGGTGTCAGTCTAGCAACACTGTCAAACTTTGGTACAACACCTTGCACTTGCTGATGGAATGACAGTGCTGCTCACAGTTCACAATCATATTTTTTTGCACAGCTTGACTAATTCCCATTTCCCAGTAAATAGTGTTGATAAATTAGTGAAATATTTTACAGTGTGCAGAATATAAACAAAAGCATTATTTTAGTAAACTTTAGACTAAAAACAAGACAGATCACCCAAGACGAAAAGAGTTCTGGTTGTAGGTCCTCTTACATGGAAAGCTCACTTGAAGAGTCTGCTCCTTAACCTTCACTTATAAGGATTCCAGTCACAAGTCTGAGTATGATGACATCCATGACAATGATAATGCAGGGAAGTGCAGTACTGCAATACTTCTTGTAGGAGATCTTCATTCTCCACTCTCACGACTGGCTATGCAGCCAATTCAGCTGGAAAATAATTGTGTTATAATTTTACCAACTCTAATGCCACAGTATGTAATTTGTAATTTTTAATTTAATTAGGAAATTATATAACTAACTATGCTGCTAGAGAAGTTTAACTCAGCAAGCATTGCCAGAAAATACAACCATCACAATGCAATACACCTAAGTTATAAATTGAAGGCCTATTTTATGGATAGAGCATTGCAACATTAAAATAGTATAAAAACTTGAATTGTACAAGGTAATCAATACTCAGTTGTTTAAGAAGACTCTTCTAGACTCTTGAATGGTTTTCAGAACTTCTAATGCCTGAATACTTGAGCAAAAATGCGTCTGACACTGTCAGGAAGTTGTGAACCCACAGTAACAAGCTCTCTCCCAACCCCAGCTTCCCCAGTTCTCTGAATAGCACACGGTCGTCAACCTTGTCCAAATCTTCGGCAGAGTCTAACTTTCTATGTAAACCACGTCGAAGCCAGCTAAACCACATCGAAGCCTCGAGTAACTGTGGCAGGCAGGAGCAATTTTGGCAGTAACTAACCGTGTTGTAAATTATTACGTCGATCGGTCGTCCATGTAGTGGACAAGTCAACTGGCCACACACTACCTTCTTAAACACCTTGATTACCTGTGAGGTAAAGGTCACCGAAGTGTAATTTTGTGGCGTTTGTCCAACAGCTTTGTGAATTCGTGTTTCCAGTCCCACTTCAGGAATAATTAATTCAATTTATCAGCAATGCCCTTCGGGGCATAGTGAGTGGGTCCTCATTGGTCCAACACATTTCGTCAGCAATACTGCCGAAACTTCGTCGGGTCCTGGTGGTGAGAATGTTGACAGTCGTACAATACCCCTATCCATGTATTCTGGTTCAAGCTCGATGTTCCCCTATCGACTCTCTCCTAGTACTCGTAGCTTCTGGATGACCTCGATTTCATTCCCTCGTCTTGGGGGGATGGGGTTTGTAAAACACTGATTCAAATAGCGCACCCAGCAATTCAAGCATGCACTGGTCGGTCCTACGAGGCAATCATTATCTTTAAGTGGCCCCAATGTCGTCTTTTATTTTGGCCCTTTGACTGGGTGGATTTAAAGAAATACTCGCGGTTTTCTCAGATGGCCGACACCGATCGCTCCTCGTTGGCTCGTCCGCTCTGTGTCAGTCCCGCAGCATGCGCACGATTGCATTGTAGAGATTTACTAGCTTCTAACTCCTCAATGGAATGAGGTGTCGGCTATCTGTTTATTTAATCGCGTGGGTCACTCGGCATGCTACATTTTCTTCTGATTTTTTTCTTTTTTTTTCTTCTTTTTCTCTACATTTTCTTCTGATGCACACACACTTCACTAGTTTTACGCATGTTTTTTATGCATATTCACTCACCAAATTGGAATAACGAATTCCCTTTAGTCAGTTTAATGCTATATGGTTCTTTATCACCTTTAGTTTTAATTTTTAGACGGCTTTGTTTCACTTAACCGTCAGTGTCCAACATAGAATCATCTACAGTCTAGAACCGTCACAAACCATCGGTGTCTATGCTACGTGCGAGGCAATTCCTCAAGGAAAATTATTACTCAATCCTTCCTTCCTTCTGCTCTACGTGGTAGTGCTGAAGACCGTCTATTGTAATTTTTCCCTCTAGAACCTTCTTTCTTGGACGTAACTTCGTTAGTGCTGCTATTAAGAAACTACCATCGTCGGCCATCTCTCTGAGCACGCTGACCTTGTGGCGTGTTCTTCGCGGGTAGAGCCCTTCGTCATTGGCCTACACAAATAACCTGGCTCAGTAGTGGCTGCAACTGGAAGCAAATGAGCACCACCTGCCGTCCAGGCTTAAAAAGCACGGAGAGCCCACCTCTTCCCTCCCCACGTCTGTCCCATACACATAGAGCACTAACTGGAGTAACGGCTATATTGAAGTCGTCCCAACTCTTAACCTCGGAATACAGAGACTTGTCAAAGAAATTTTTATTTTCTAATTAGCAGCAAAAATTTGTCTGTACCAGCAACTAAATACCCTTACCGTCCGGGAGCTAATTGAATGAAGCTACAAAGCTCCAGTACCACCCACAATCAAGAAGAAGAGAAATAGTCAGTTGAAGCTCCAATACTGATAATTATGGCTGCCTCTATGTAGTATTTGGTGGGATACATTTATTTAGTGAAAGGAATAAGAAAGTGGCCGTAAAAAACATGATATTGCTAGAAAGAATGCCTAATGAACGTTGTGAATGAAAAATAAGCTTATAGTTTCATGCCTTTGTTCAGTAGCGCGTAAGTGTGGTTTGAATGAGACGAGGCTCCCAAAGGGGATTGTGTGATCAATGTGTGTTGTTAGTAGAAGGTGCAGTTGGAATTAAGTAGGGTGTAAAATGATACTAGAAAGAAATGAATGAAATTCTTGCATGCTTTTGCCATCAAAAATGTGTTCTTATATCAATGGGCTAATGTTAATTCGGATTCCAAATGGCGGAAATAACTCCTCAGTCTTTGTGTCTTCGTGGGTCTTTGTATTGGCAATTGGCTGGTCAATACATTTCTCAGAAAATTGTCTCCACGCTGTTATGAAAGTAGTTTTCGTGATCATCAATGGTTGATTAATTTCAAATTTGTCCAATCGATTGTGTGTGTAGTTTCCATTCGAACCAATTCGACTATTCGTCTTTCAAGTGTGAACTGAAATACCAGCATTCTTACTAAATACTGTGAACTAAAATACTTGCGAGGCTAGTTTGTTAATTTTTCCCCGCTGTGAAGTTGGTCTAAACTTATTATTTATTATTATTATTATTCCATTTTTTATCAAAGTGTTTTTTTATCAAACCTTTCCCATTACAGATAAAATTTATACTCTCTTAAATTAGCAAGAATGCGTCCAGGTAAAAGAACCGCCCGGTACCGTAGAGGGCGTGGCCGGGCACAACTCATTTCCAGAACTTGCCCTCGTGTAATATTGAGTCCTCTTCGCACTACACCGGAAGATTTACGTCCACTAAACAACTCTATTTTCTGCTCGAGTGATGACGAAACTTTTGAATTTGAAGGTTTTGATTCTATAACTTTTAAGCCAGAGGCAAGTGTAACAAACGCTTCTTGTCAGGCTCCGAGTTTGCCGATGAACAAAAGCTCGATGGAAGAGTTTGACAGTTTGCCATCAGAAATTAGTAACGAGTTTACTCCTCCAGGGAGTCCTTCATCGATGAAGTCAACGGTTAACGCTAATAATGTGCCAGTGTCTCCTGGAAAAAGTTGGGAAGCAGTTTTCGGCAAGAACTCGCAACTAATAAGTGCAAATGCAACAGCTCTCTTTCCGTCGACTAACCTCTTAGAAGAGAAGTCGACTATGCCAAGCAATCCAGGTGATGACTCGAGCGTGAGTAGATTCAAAGGTAACTCAAATTCTGTGTATGAAGTTGAAGCTGATGAAGTTCTCGCTAATACGAGCTCATCCATTCCAATGGAGAATCGTGGTGCAACCGTATTAAGTGATAATGAGAGAAGTGCTGAACATTCAAGAAAATTAAATACATTATTTCAAGAAGTTCCGAAGAAACATAAACCCGAGTTCATTGCATCTAAATCAGCGCGTCTGCCAGTGGTTTCACCAACTCCTTCTTTTACGAACACGAAGTCCCTCAATGCCACCACGAACACTCCTCCCCTGAAGCGCCATCGACTTGCTCTCAAGTTCCGTGCAAAACCAGAACCTTTCGTCATGGACGAAGGCTACCTGCGTGATCTCAAGTACCTGGAGTCGTAAGTCAATATTTCCTTTAGTTTTTATACGCGCTTTTTTGTACTGAAATATCCTGACAATTGGATAGTTCATATCCTACCTATATGTATAGTATCATTTGTGTAAATATTGAATTGTTATAATGTCGGATCATTCATTCTGATATCTACAGACTAGCGCCAAATAGATGCCCATTTAATATTTTACATTCATGTTTTATCTTTGGTGGTTTAATATGGGCCACGTTCTCACCCAGTTTGCGTCCAAAGAACATGAGCGAAGAACGAAATCTGCTGCATAAGCTGAACATCGTGTATGAACGCCTGGGCTCTGACAAGTTCCCTCGCCTCCTGCACAGTTTCAGGCGCAAGCTGATAGTTCGCCAAGAACAACGGGATTGTGGCTTGCGAGTCTTCGATATTGAGGAGGCAGAAAATGCTGTGCTCAATCATCTTAGCCAGGCACCAAGAACTTTAGCAACAAATTCTTTGTATTAGCAGTATGATAGTGTGAAAGTGATATTTTGTTGTACCATGTCGCTTATTTTATATTTTTTTTTTCAAGTGCCGATTCGTTAAGACAGAATAGATTGGATCTATTCAAGTTGCCAACGTTGGGGCGAAAACATTAATTTCGAGAAGATATTTCACTGATGACACCAGTAAAAGACCCAACTATGCGTTATATCAGTTATCCTGCAATTCTCAGTGAAGCGCGCGTCCTTGTGTAGGTCTCTCAAAAATGTTCTATTCAATGATGACGTGAATATTACAAGCCATGATGGACAATTTTACAATACGACTCACTTGGATATCATAGGCTTTTACGAATTTCAAAGTTTATTGACACAAAAATCGTAACATAATCAAAAATTCTCACGCGTTCAACAGACAGATAGAAGAAACCCCACATAATTCATAATGCCGTTCGTGAAACAGATTCAGAAATTAAATAAAATTCCAATAAATTCACTATTCGTAAAATAATTAATGAGAGACGGTATGAAGTCTACACTAAAAAATTTTCGGTAGCGGGCAAGGAATTGTAAAAAAAAAACTTGGAAATTTGGTATTCCTGTGGGTATACCAACTTATTTAATACATATGGCTAGTCCCGTAATTTGACAACATTCTACATATAGTATAAATTGTGTAACCATTTGTTATCAAAATCATACTGCATAGTGGATACTTATTTCTAGACGTCTTCATCGAATTCGTACGAGTCCACAGCATCATTTACGCTGATTGCGTTCAGTAAGCTTTTGTTTGCTTTAATAGAGATAAGACCTAGTATATGATGCAATTTTTGGGTTTACGCTCAATTATGGTATAGAGGGTATCTGATACAGTTTTAATTTCATGCACCAACCCACGCCCAGGATTTCTACGCGGCGTCTCTTGAATGTTTTTTAGCAGAAAGTGTTCAGAGAAATTCGTCGATCCGCCAGTACTCTGTTCTCAGACCTTGACGACCGCCTTGCCAATGTTGTCACCCGTGAACAGCCCGATGAATGCTTTGGGCTGGTTCTCGAATCCCTCGGTAACAGTCTCTCTGTACTTCAGCTTACCCTGAAAAAATGAAATAGGAATTATTAGGGGAACAGTTTTAAAACTTTCACTGGCTACCAAACTGTCTAAATGCTTTGGGAGGACTATATTGTGCGCATTCGTTTTGGCGTTCGCTATATCCAGGTTTGAGCTGACTGTAGACTAGCATCACTGTTATATGACCCAGGCTGAATCTGGCTGCTATTCATGACGCAGTTAGCTTACTCGGCAAAGCGAGTGCTCGGCCGGCCCGGCGGTCAGACATTGATCCATCCGTCTGTGAGAGAATATATTTTCTCATCGAGACGTCTCCCACGCCTCGCATGTCTTATTGTGGATGCCGTGCCGACCGAAATAGGCGTCCTGCTCCCACCTCGAGCAGTGCGCGACAGCGGAGTGTTCGTCATCACTGGCAATAGGCAGTTGCTATGGCGGCAATCATTTGCCATGAACTTGCGGCTACTGCTGCTGAGTATCAGCCTGTGTCGGCCCGTAGGCCTCAAAACCTTAGCGTTCGTGTTGATCGCCACTGTGTGCAGCCGTGTCGCCGATTATCGTTCGGCTGCCTCAACATCCGTTCGCTGAATAACAAGGTTGACGAGTTTCTTCACATGTGTCGCTCGCGCTCACTAGATATCGTCTTCCTGACCGAGACCTGGCATGGCGCTGACTCGGTTTTCATCGCGCGTTTTCGCTCTGAAGGACTCAGGTAGTCGAGTGCGCGTGGCCCCGCATGCAACCCGACGCACTGGCGGTGAATTACGGAGTAGCTACCGTCGTCAGCAGGGGCGTGCACCACACAATTCTTGACATCGGCGTCTGACCTACCGCCACCTTTGAGCTGCTATGCGCTAAAGTGATCAGAGCCTCGCTAACGGGCGTTGCAGTCACCATCTATCGTAGTGGATCGGTTGCTGTAGCGCGCGATTTTTCGTCGAATTGAGCGATGTCTTCACTAAACTCGTGACTTTCCCCGATCATGTCCTTATCACCGGCGATTTAAACGTTCAAGTTCAACTGGATCGCGTCGAAGACTCGTCGCTGAATGACCTTCTGGCTACCTTTGGCATGGTTTGCCACGTCATCTTGCCGACGCACGACATGGGCGGACTGCTGGACGTTATCACACGTTCTGACCTTCAAAGTCTGCCAGTCGACATTATCGAGATCGCAATATCCAACCGTCGACTACTTCAGTGAACGGTGCCAGCGTACAAAAACGTTACCTGTCGTCCATGGCGTGGTCTTGACGGCGATGTCTTACGCGAAAAACTGCAGTCGTTCCGACTATGTCGGCCTGACTCATGGTTGGCGCTATCAATCAACCATCTATCCCATCTCTACAATACCGAGCTGACCTGTGCACTCGATGATCTCATTCCTGCACGCACAGTTTGGGTATCCCTTGGTCTCCGACCCATGGTTCGATGATGAATGTCGAGTCTCGAAGCGGGGGATTCGACGGCTCCAGCGGGCTGTCTTCCGGGCGAACAGGCGCGGCAATTCTGCTGCTGCTCTGCTGAGGTCTCCATCTGGCGAGATGCGCGGCGCAATTATGTGGCCTTCTTTCTGAAAGAGTAATTTTGGCGCCAGAGTCGACGTGCAACGCAGCGATCCTCGAGCGCCGTGGCGTTCGCTGGATAAACTCAAGGGATGAGGTCATACAGATGCGGGTGACGTAGGCGTGGAGGAATTCCATGCGGTTTTTTAAAACAAATTTCTGCTGTGCGAGCATCGTCAGCCGATGCTCCTCCGGCAACATTTGCGCCGTGCCCGTTCGACTGCGTGCTCCAAGAATTTACTTGCGTCACAGCTGGCGATGTCATCGCTGCAGTGCGCGCTCTGCCTAACAAGCAATGTGCCAGCAATCTCGTAACCCTAGCACCTTTTCTGGTGGAACTTTTCAACCGCTGCCTCACTGACGGTGTTGTTCCGATGAACTTCAAAGCAGCTTACATTACGCCTCTATTGAAAAAAACGCTTCTGAATCATATCGACCAATCTCCAACCTGTCGATTTAGTTGAAACTCCTGGAACGCGTTGTGGTCCGACGGCTGAATAACCATCTTCAATACTCCGGTCTCATGCCTCGCCGCAAGTCTGCATACCGCCATCTCCATTCGACAGATACCGCCGTGCTGAAGGTGTTTTCAGACATTCTGCGAGCAGTAGACCGCGGCGAAATTGCGGCGCTGGCTACTCGACCTGTCAGCCGCGTTTGACACGGTCGACCACGCCACTTTATTGCGTCGATTTGACGTACGTATCATTCGGCCTCCGCGGCACAGTGCTGCGGTGGTTCGATTCCTATATCAGCAATAGATTCCAATTCTTACATCGTAGGTAACTTGCGGCGTAGCACAGGGATCAGTCCTCGGCCTCGATCCTCTTCCTGTTATATACTGCCGACGTATTGCACAAAATCGATTTACATAGTTTGAATCCGTATATGTTCGCCGACGAAACTCAAATTTATGGCAACTGTGCACCGTCTGACGATGCAGGAGTTGCAGGACCGGATGTTTGCCCGCATGGACGCCGTGCCAGACTAAATGCGCTCCAACCAGCTCCAGCTCAATTTATCAAAAACCGACTTTATTTGGTTTGCGACTGCTCGGCGCCAGCGTCAGCTTCTGGCCAACACTGTTCGAGTGGGCAACGAGTTCGTCATGCCTGCGTCGTTGGATAGAAATCTTGGCATTCTGACTCTTGAACTTTCTATGATCACATAGCCAAAGTCACCACCGCTTGTTTTGACGCTCTGCAGCGAATACGTGGCGTCTGACGCTTCTCTCGTGCCGCTTGTGGTGTCGCTCGTTTTGACCCGATTTGACTACGGTAATGCCACACTCTATGGATTTCTAACCACAGCGCTAAATAAACTGCAACTCGTAATGAACGCGTCGCGCGACTCATGTGCAATAAGCAAAAATTCGACCATGTGACGCCGATATTGCGCGATCTTCACTGGCTGCGCATGCAGTTCAAGGTCGCTGTTCTGACGTTTCGATGCCTTCACGGTCAGCCGCCTCATTATTTCACGGAATGTTTACAGCGTGTGTTGGATCTGGCTTCTACAGGGTGGCGCGCGGTAATTTGCTGATTTGGGAATGAAATAAAAAAATTATGATCACTAGAAAAATTTATTTTATATTTGAATTATACTGCACGGTAATGGAATTTATAACTTACATGGTTTTAAATAGTGTATCTGGCAAATGTCGACCTTTGCATTCCACACACTGCTGCATACGTTTTCTGAAGTTTTCATGAACTCTGACAAGCATGTCTACTGGTCTTCTGCCAATTTCAGCTTCAATATTCTTCCTTAGGTCTTCCAAGGTGTTGGAGCGTTTGATATACACCTCAGACTTCAGGTAACCCCAAAGAATAAAATCGCATGGGGCTAAATCTGGTGACCGTGCTGGCCAGGTCACATCACCCCTCAAAGAGATGATAAGGATAGAAATTCATAAAATTGGGAATATATGTAGAACCGTTGAAGATTTCATAAGCCGACGGTTTGAAAACAAGCGGGTATACGACGCTTGATTTACCGGCAATCGTTCAACGACGAGAAACCGATGTCCACCGAGATAGAATGTTATTCCGAAATACGACATCTACAGAAATAACCAGTATCTACACCCCAAAAATCACGTACACCCGGGAACGCGTACTGAAGACTTCCGAATTATAATCTTCGCCGTCACTTAGCCTGGGGAAACTCGCCACCGCTGCGTATTGGCCTCACGTCTCCAAATATCGGTGATGTACTCCGGGAAACTGTTAGAAACTATCTTATAAAAACTGGGTGAATAGGTCGGGATAGGATTTTATGTGTATTCTGTCTGAGCTACATATTTTTGGTGTGACAGTATATTACTATATTCCGTGTAAACCGTGCTCTGCCGACTGTTCCATTGTATTAGACTAGATCTTTTTCCTCCTATAATACAGTAACTATAGAATTTATCTCCATGTGTTGTCATTGCCCCTTTGCTAACTAGTTCGCTGTTTTGACTAAAAGAGAACCGTATTATCATCGTGCCAGTATAGCCACTCTGGCAAAAGTCAACCTGGCAAATTCCTAATTTGTATCAGATAATAGAAAATCGATAAATTAACGTAATCATTTTAATACGGAAGTTGAAATTCTGATTTAACCTCGTGGCAACGTTAGAAGTGATAAAGATCTCGAGCAGAGTTCAATATTAGTGAGAATTAGGAAGTCTTAGACTTTATAACAAACCTACAAACCAAGTTTTATTCAGAGATAAGCCGTCCAGGAAACATTTGCCTCGAACAATTCATGGTAACCCTTGCTGTGTGTGCAGTGGCACCATCCTGTTGGAACCATGTATCCTCTAATTCCATTGCTTCAAGAGCTGGCTGAAAATAATCCTGTATCATAGACAAGTACCGTTCGGAGTTCACAGTTATGGCACGACCGTTATCCTGAAAAAATGAAGGCCCAATGATGCCTACTCACGATATGGCGCACCACACAGTGACGCGGTCCGAATGCAGAGGTCTCTCGGCAAGATATTCTCTAAGGTCCCCTTCGTAGACATGACACATTCCCTGCTGTTCTGACTTCTGAATGCATTCACCCAATTTTCAATTGATTGCCGTCCAGGAACACGTCCGCGTAAAGGAACAGCGAATCGTGAACGAAAAGCACGCTGCACTGCAGTGATCGAGTGTGCATTTGAAAAATACGCTTCTACACAAAATGACCTCTCCTCACGTGTCCACTGCATGATGGCAACTGAGAGCCAGACGAATACAAATTTCCCGCCATCCACAGTCAGCCACGTCCACTCTCCTCTGTCTTCGACCGTCAATGCCGTCACAGCATGCAGTGCAAATAAGCAAATTACCGCGCTCCACCCTGTAGAAGACTGCGTCCGTCTTTAACAGCGGACCTCGTCGTTCCATGTACACGTCTATCTACCGTCGGCGACAGAGCGTTCCCGGTCGCCGCCGTCGGAACCAGGGACTGTCTGCCGGCATCCGTAACATCAGCTCCTTCGTTGCAGGTGTTTCGTCCACGCCTAAAGACGGAACTAGTTCGTAGAGCCTATGAATCAAGTGCTGAATTATTTTTATCCGTTGTCATCCTTTCTCGAGTCTATTTATTTTTTGCTTGCTATTAAACTTATGTGTAACGTGCCCTAGAATTTTGTTTGAACCATACGCCACGATAACTGCTTCGTGAAATAATAATAATAATGATTTTCAGGTCCATTCATCAAAGTTTCAATAAGCATTTCAGCAGGTGACAGTTTACCAGGAATGCCTGCTGTGTTACATATATTATACTGTGGTGGAATTCCATTATACTGCCAATTCTAAATAGGAGGCCGCATGCATGCAATGAATGTAATGGCCTACTTCTTCATAACGAATGAATGTAATGCCCTAAAGAACTGAAGCTATTATCATCGCAAATTTCTTTGAAATAGCCTAATTGTAAGCAATCGGTGTTCCATTTCAAGCTTATAAGCTAACATTTACATTTTACTCGAGCCTAAAACTTCTAAAATGTACTGGGGATTGATCTATTCAAGACTTGTAGATGCAAATGAAAGTTCTGAATGATTCTTTAATCTCTAAAACATCAAAGCAATAATTTTTTTGAAAAATTCAAAAGATTGATATGATCTGAATTTCAGTCGCTTCTCGCTCCATTTATTCAAGTCTTTTTTTTCTGCACAACTGACCTCATCAATCCAGTCTCTCATCTGCTTGATACCTTCGCGCCATCGCGGTAGCCAGCGAGTCACAATAAAGCCCTCCACGCGAAGCTGCTTCCAGATGATCGTGCCTTCAGACAGCGGACCTGCGACACAATTCGAGTTGAAAATTCTTGAAAAAATGTAGTTCTTGGTGTCGATACACAGTAATCGAAACATAAAATCAATTAAAATTCAGTTTTATCGGCTAGTGTCGCTTCGTTCTTCAGTTCAAACTACCAGGGCGACGTGAATTACATCGCGCATGAAACTTTATAACAGTATCTTCTACAGGTGTAATCCATAATGATAACACATAAGCGAAGATATCCTGTTTCGTCTAATGTCAGCAGAATTGAACTCGTGAATAATTGATCCCGACTGTTTACGATGAATAAAGGCCTAAGAGATATCATGATAGAAAAAACGTACCAAAGCCTAGTAAGGTAAAATGTCTGGAAATTTGTCAGGTTTGTACAAAAAAAAAAAAAAGAATGGAAAACCACTGCAGCGTTGTATATCTCGGAAGCTGAAAAAAAAAGAATACCAATATTAGAAGGTTAGTTTCAGACCAATCGTTCTCCCGAGCATCACAAAGAATATCTCACTGCACATGGTTGAGACTCCAATGTGTCTGGTGTGGTCGTTGTACGTGGATATTGCACCGCACAGTGACACGCGGCCCATGCTTGCCATCAAAGGGATCACTTTTGACGAGAATTCGCCTCCAACCTGGGACAAGAAGTTCATTTCATGAGAACAGTTGAGAGAGAGCTAAAACTAGAAACGAATATTGGGACTTGAATAGGGCATCAGGAAATCAACTTATGTTTGGACATATTCAAGGAAATCAACTTATGTTTGGACATATATGGGCCTCAAATGCACTGCGTTGCCAATGTGTGAGTCGCGATCCTTATGCTAGCCATTAAAATAGATTTGCACGCGTCGATGGCAAAATATGTTGAAACGTAGCATGAATGACTGAAAAATGAGCCACACATATCGAAGTATGAAACTGTTGTGCTTCTATACTTGAGAATCGCAATGCATACCTACTGCACGTAAAAATCGACTGAGGCGGAGATTCGCGTAAGGCAACCAATGTGGACGAAGCCGTGATGAAAAAATAAACTCTTAAATAAGCATTGGAGCCAACGCAAAGCCACAGCATGCAATAACTAACTAAACTCGGCCTCGGAGCTAAAAACTAGAGACTAGGCTGGAACACAGTAAGCTAGTGACACACAGCTTAACGTTAATATCGCCGTAGGTCTTCGGCCAATACTTTAGCATGCGCGGTCATAAGCAGGCAGTTCAGCATCAGACCTTCCCTCTTTTGACCTAACGTATTCATGCTGTCCTGACTCTCCACCTTCTGGCAGCCAATGACTGGCTCCACCTCTTCACTTATCCTGCCTCTTTAACCCGCTACAGTTAATAACGTTAGGTTAGGTCCGCTCAGATTTGTTTTTGTCTGGATAAATGTTGCAACGTGTATAGGTTAGGCATGATGCAGTGTGACCATGCTTGAGCATGTTCAATCGGTGGCTGTGCAATTACGGCGCTATGGCTTTAAGCACTTGACTTCACAAACTGCTATGAAAACCCTCTAGTGTGCTTATTCACGGAAATAAATATGAACTGATGGAGTTAAGTAAAGCTGGCATCCGGCATGCACCCCTAGTCCTTCAGAGAGCTGCAGTGCCCTGGACAAAATAAGCCACCGCTTCATCCCACACAAAATGTTTATGAAACTTTATTAAACAAATGAATTTTCTTAGAATGACCTGACCCAGCTTGAATATTATAGATCAAGAAAAGAACTCAGTTCAAGAGTTTTTTTTTAAGACAAGCCTGAAGTAATTTAAATTTTTTAACAAAGGTTAAATATGAGGGCCGTTTTCATGTACACTGCGAGGAGACTAAAGTTCATATAAAACTTTTTCACTCTGTTATATTGGCATTCTGAAATACTCATCAATAGGGAAGTTTGCTACCATTAAATCTCAAGAACTAAATTTCTCTACCTACTCAAAGTTTGATTCAGAAGCATTGACTCTTTCCGATTTTTTTCAATGCAGTGACAAATTTGCAGGCACTGAAAATTCTATATTTATCCCTCGCTGACGCTATCATAGGTATTCAACTTACTAGAGCCCAAAAAAGCAACAAATTAATCAGGATCCAGTAAACTGTAACTGACGTTATCAAAGTAGCAGTTGACGCCGTTTGGCGCCGCGTCCCTGATGACCTGAGCGACGTCGTCCGTCTTGTAGTTGGCGGCGACGTCGGCGCCGAGCTCCCGCAGCCAAGAAACTTTGTCCGCCGAACCCGCGAACGCGATTACCTTGCAGCCTGGAAACCAAGGTAACTATAAGCAAGCGAACGCGATTACCTGGCAGGCTTGAAACCACGGTAACTATAAGCAAGCAAACGCGATTACCTTGCAGCCTGGAAACCATGGTAACTATAAGCAAGCGAACGCGATTACCTTGCAGCCTGGAAACCATGGTAACTATAAGCAAGCAAACGCGATTACCTTGCAGCCTGGAAATATAAGAAATTATTAGCCCGCGAACGCAATTACTTGGCAGGTTGGAAACAGGACATTTTCAGTCACTGACTAGACAAGCAATGAAGCGTTCTTCTCAATTGTACGAGCTTTGCAGATGAATGGATTATCATGCTATTAGGGTTTAATTGTAATCTTAGCAACCGAGATTAAGGCAGGTAAAGAATTGCTCTAAACATACCGACATGTGGATAAAATACATAAGGCTTCTGTAAAAAGTAACTGTAAATTACCTTTCATTTTGGCTATTTGACACACAGCACTTCCGACGACACCTGCAGCAGCGTTCACCACAACTACATCACCAGGTCGGGGCTTGCAGATTTCCAAAAAGCCAAAATATGCAGTATTTCTATGAAATATAAAATTCTAACTTAATTGCAAAATTACTGTATAACAAGTATATTAATCCAGTATACGTATAAGTTCATGCTGAAAAAATTATGAAAGCAGAATTAGATATTTTCTAGTCCAGTATGGTAGTTAATAAGAATTTTATAACAGTGTGCACATTACTACAATGCAAGATTGTAAAATCAAACACATGAAATCATGAAAAACCTTAAGTTACATCATAGTGCAATTTCAACATGCGCCTTCTTCATAAAATTAGAATTGGAACAGTTATTCCTAAGTATCACCACAGACTGGCAATATCATAAGCACAGCAAATTTATAGATGCAATTTTAATCAAGCTTTAATATTAAATATGGGTTATGATGGTTAATTTCACACCTACTCTATCAAAACCGGTGATCTGATTCATCTGATATATGTGTATACTTACCCAGGCATGCCCAGCACTCCAAGGGCAGTCGAGTGTGGAAGTCCTTCAATCTCGGGCAACAGAGGAGCAAAATTGGAGAAGAGGTCATCAGCGGTGGTGCCATCAGCTTTCTTAAGAGGCAAGAGTGTGTGTGACCGCCAGCCTAATTGCCCAACAAGACGAGTTCCAACAGGGTATTCCGCATTCTTGCTCTCAATTACTCTGAAATAAAAGATTGATTTACTACAACGAAAACCAGTCTGCAGCATAAAATTAGAGAAAGCACGTTCATTCCATATATTGGAAATAAGCAATATAACATAAGAGAAATTTGGCCTCTCAATGCATGAGAAGATAGATGGTAATACACAATAGAAAACCCTCAAAGAATCTAATAAAACAATGCTATTTTTATTTCCTATTATACCCAAAGTATCAATATAACACTTTTTTACATTGAAAAAAAAAAATAGATTACATAATGGATGACTGCCAATATTACCCCTCATTGTCATTTAACAGCAAGCTATTTCTTTACTCACACATTTACTAATATGCAAACCTTGCAACCTGAGATCCGGTGACAATAGCGCCAATCTTCATGTCACGGATCATGTACCGCATGTATGGATCTACACTCAGCCACTCAGCTTCAACTATGAATTCTGTCAATAAACCAAATGTATTAAATCATATCCAGCTGTTAAAACAACTGAAGCTCATAGATCAAATTTTCATCTAATGAAAATTTACATCTAAAAATTAGATCTAATGCCAAGTGGGTGACTTGTATGATTGCAGTAAAGCCAATTTAGAAGTTATGCTGATAAATCAAACATCAGCAACTCTGTACTTCAAATACAAATTTTGAAAAGACAAGGTGGACTATGATGCCATATAATGCTTAATAATTCAGACTTGAGGAATATCTATTTTAAAAAATTTATTATTTATATGTAATATTTATAAGATACATAAAAGGAACATAATATTCAAGGAAGATACAAAAAGGTCTAAAATAACATAAAATTTTTTGTTCAGATGCTTGTAGTTGTGGAAATGTGAATAAAAACAGACAGCAAATTGGAAAGGCCATCACAAAACCAATCACAGTCTGGATAGGAATTTGGATGACATTGCAATCACAGCTGGAAAAATGACAAACTTTATGTTTATGCACTATCTTAGAATTCCAGCCTGGTTACATTACAATTACATTCTAAGAGTAAGTTACATGATGTAACTTAGAACCAAAAGTCATATCACCAGATTCCATCAAACATATATTTACAATTTTACATATTTAATTCCTAAAACATATAACTACGGTACCCAAAGAATGAAAATTAGTAAAAATAGAATTAGACGAATTATTTTTAAATCTATTATTTATATTTCCATGTGAATGAGTTCTGATAGAAAATCCTGAGCAGGACAAAGGCATGCAAATAAATATAGTCGACAGAAAAGGCTCTGTAGCTGTAGGCTCACAGTCTCACTCACCTCCATCATTGGGAGTTGGCAGCTCCTCATTGACTAGCTTAAAATTATCCTCAGAGGGAACACCATCTGGCACCTTGTCCAGAATCCAAGTTTTAGCTAAAACCATAGTTGCAAATTGCAATTGCCTGGTAGAATAACAATGTACAAAAAAAAATCAATAATCATAGACATTAGGCTAGGCAGAGGCTCAGAGCACTGAGACTCAGAGTGACTGAGTGAGAGCAGTAAATACAAAAATGACTACCAGATATATGTTAAAGCATAATTTCATAACCAAAGATTTGTATGTATCTATTAATATTACACACTAAATTCAAATGATATTAAAATTTTGGAACATGTCCATTGTCCAACAGTCCAAGTGTTCCAAGCCAAACTTGAAATATCTACTCTTTAACTCTTCAAATATATGGATTGTTGAGGTTATGAATATGGGCTTTAACAATTTACAGCCTTGGATTATTGGATCCAATCAGTACATTTTATAAAGAATGATGCCAATGAAAAAAGTTAGAACTTCAAATGCAACTGAACTGCTATTACTTGTAAAGTTGTACTTTGCCATTGAATGCCCATAACAACACATGACATGCAGACATGGGCGGGCTGATGGGCCCATGAGTAATTGAGTCCATACTCCATGGTCATGGTGGCATGTCCATGTCCTACGGCCGCCGCCCATGGCCATGGGGCATCTTAAAATCTTCGTAATGTCACATCTTAATTTTAATCCAATCCATGAGAATTTGCTCATGTTCCCTTAGTTGAACACAGTTGAACGGTTCTACTGCCTTCTACAGTCTACAGTACACTGTACACTTGGTGGTGAAGCCAGTAACAACTAGGCGATGTCCAAAAAACTTGGTCTTGAGTCTTATTTCTAGCATTTTTGCAGTGGAATGCCTCATGCCGGCCGCCGGGAGCATTTATAGGTGTTCGTGTTCAGAGCCAGACTCTGCCAGAGGACAGCAACTGGTGAGCTCTAGGCCTCTAGCAGTCTAGCTAGTAGTACCTTCTCCGGCTCAACGCCTCGGAGCAAGGCAGCACTGCATACTGCAGACTGCAGAGCATCCATGAGCATTTTCAAAATTCGAAAATGATGACGTGGTAGCCAGTCAAGACAGGCTGCTGTCAAACTCGAGAGAGCTCGGTACAGTCGAGGTCGAGCCATAACTTAGTTTTCAACTAAATACAGTCGGACTCCGATTTGACTTTGAAGGGTTGAGCCTGTGTTCATAGTGGCAAAGCAGAGAGTTTTTTAGACTCTCCCTCAAGTTCATTTTTGAGTCCTATAAGTAGACCAGTAAAGTATCCTGGATACCAGCATTATCATACCTAAGAAATTGGTTTAATTCTCGAGTAAATGAGGAAATTAAAAATGAACTGATTCTAAAAAAGCTCTGGTTTGCCACTATGCCTGTGTTGAAGGCCTTATTAGAGGCCTGTTCACCAATCATGGTGATACGTCATATTAATTAAGCAACGTGCGTGGTGGGCTCCAACTTCTCCAAGTACCTACGAGTTTAGTGATAGCAGTCCGGGAATCCGGGTCGTACTTGTTGGCTAGGTTACTAAGGTTAGACCAGTGAGCGTCCAGGACTCCAGGCGAGACTTGAATGAGTTGACACTGGGGCGTTGCCGCGTTAACCACCAGCTCAGGAAGGCTATTCCACACGTTCACCACTCTGACGGAGAAGAAATTCAAGCATACCTGGCGACTGCACTGCTCTTTACCAAGTTTCAAACTATGGCCTCTGGTTCTGTCACTGGTAGTGGTGGACACTGGTCTCAGTGGTCTGGTTCTGTCACAATAGCGATTAGCGAAATTTTCACAAGTGAGTTACTACTATTATCTGTGACTTTAAATTTCATGTTTTGGAAGTGATGACTGATGAATCATGACCGAATAGCAATTTATGTTATAATGTTAGGATTTTCGTCTCAGTCATATGCCACGTAACACATCACAGCTTTTGAAGATAGCTTTGTTATTACATACCTGCACATCTTAATTTTAATTGTGGAAGTTAGTTTTACATCAAGATTAGGATTTAAAGATAGCATGGGTCAGGCCGTCAGAAAAACTTTATTTCAAACTCGATCGACAATTCTACGGACTCGCCAGCGGACTCGCCAGCGGACTCGCCAGCGGACTCGCCAGCGGACTCGCCAGCGGACTCGCCTGCGGACTCGCCAGCGGACTCGCCAGCGGACTCGCCTGCGGACTCGCGCAACTGGGCCTAACCTAACCTAACTTAACCTAACCTAACCTAACTGGCTAACCCAATAATAAGTCATGTAAAAATCTGTAATAATTCCTGCGGCAGCGTATCGATAATTAATACTCACATTCCAAAATTCATGCAGATCCGTTAAGTATTGAAGGAATTATGAGCGGCCCAGTTGCTTAAAAAATACGTTTATTGGTTTTAATTAAAAAATAATTCATGTAAAGTTCTGTAATAATTCCTGCGGCAGCGTATCGATAATTAACACTCACATTCCAAAATTCA